TGTCCATGACTTAGAACTGTTTCTACATATAGCGTGCAGAGTCACCAGGAGGACTTGTTAAAAATCAGTGCCTCCTGCTTGTATACCTATGGAACAAAACTGCACAATCTGCATATGTACCCCAGAACTTAAAGTATAATAAAAAAATAAATAAAACTGCCAAAAAAAAAAATCAGTGCCTCCTGGACTACTGTATCCGGAGGTCTGGAATGGGAACTTCATTCCCCCAGGTGACCCTGAAGCTGGCTATCAGTTCGCCAATAGTTAGTACTAGGTGCCCTTAGCAGACACTATGAGCTGATAGAACTGTAAAAATTATGCTAATTCCTTCTAGGCGTAGTGGCTTACTTCTGTAATCCCAGCACTTTCGGAGGCCGGGGAGGGTGGATCATGAGGTCAGAAGTTCAAGACCAGCCTGGTCAACATAGTGAAACGCTGTCTCTACTAAAAAATAAAAAATTAGCCAGGCATGGTGGTGCATGCCTATAGTCCCAGCTACTCGGGAGGCTGAGGCAGGAGAATTGCTTGAATGAGGGAGGTTGAGGTTGCAGTAAGTCGAGATCGCGCCACTGCACTCCAGCTTGGGCAACAAAGTGAGACACCATTAAAAAAAAAATTATACTAATTCCCAAAAGGCTAGTCTGTCTTCCTGGGGTGCCTGCCATGCATTCCACAGAAAAAAATAAACTAGATCTATTCTAAGGAGTGACCACATAATTAGAAGGTTATGACTACATTGTAGAAAGAAAGAAATACCATAATAAAGAACAATGGAATTTGTGGGTCAATTATCAATACAGTGCTGAGATTCATGCAGTTACAGACCAATAAAACAAGGCTATCAGACTGGCTCACAAAATACTTCCGGATTTCTGAAGTGGAAGAAAATTCACTGGGCTTAAGGAGGTCAAGTCTGAGAACTCCCTTATTTGTCTCCTCACTTATGGTTAGGGGCATAATCATTCAGCAGATTGTATCTGATGTGCCTTTGTTCTGGCATTTTTCTTTGCTGCCTGTTTATAATTCTCAAAAAAAATTTTTTTTAATTAATAAACTTTAAACATTGTGTCAGTGCATATGTTTAATATTCATTTATTAAGTAAAATTCTATGGAAGACTACGAAAAAAGATACAAAGATGGCCGAGACACGGCCCTTGCGATCAGGTTGCCTACAGCATAGCAGAGAAGACAGAGGAAAATCAATCCAGGTTAGGTGTCAAATGAAGACAGGTGAAGTTCTCAAGAGGAATTCACCTTGGGAAGATCAGAGGACACCCTGCCTGAAATGCATCTCCAAGGTCTGTTTGTCAGGTGAGCAAAGGGGAAGAGAGACAAAAGAACTAACAGATATATGGAGGTGTGAATTCACATGGCGGGTGATTTGGACTGACTAGGAATATGAAATACTAGTGGACACAGAACGCAGGCGAATCTGGAAAGGAAGTCAGCAGTCAGGTCATGCTTAAAGTTTGGACCTTATCCTGAAGGCATTATTAATTCACCTGGAGATCTATAGCAGACATATTGGAATATAATTTGCTTACAAAGAAAACCCTGAGAAGCTATGGAGGATGGATTGGAGGGGACACAGAGAGAGAAATCATCTAGGAATCTGTTGCTCTGTAGCTGATCAGGAAGATGATGGGGAATGAGTAAACAAAACAGGCGATGAAGCCAGGGAGGAAGGTGTTCAGAGATGAATAAGGACAGGGTAGACAATGCCAGGTGACCAGCTGGATGAGAGGGGAAAGGCAGATAAATGAATCTAGGGTCATGCCCAGATTTGTAATGTAAGTGACTGAGAAGATAGGGTTACCCGCGAACCAAGCGACGGAATACACCAGAAGAGCAATTGCAGGTCCTGAGTTCTGTTTGGGTCATACTGTGTTCAAGCTTCCTGAGGATCATACCAGTTAAGAGATTTGGTAGATCACATATGAAAATCTGAACTCAGAGAGACGTGGAGAGGAAGATATAATTACGGTAAAGATGATATCCACCATATTAACAAACAGGCCTGTAATCCCAGCACTTTGGGAGGTCAAGGTGTGTGAATCTTTTGAAGTCGGGAGTTCCAGATCAGCCTGGCCAACATGGTGAAACCCTGTCTCTACTAAAAATACAAAAAAAAAATTAGCTAGGCGTGGTGGTGCACAACTGTAGTCCCAGCTATTTGGGAGGCTGAGGCAGGAGAAGCGCTTGAATCCAGGAGGTGGACATCGCAGTGAGCCAAGTTCATCCCACTGCACTCCAGCCTGGGCAATAGTGTGAGACTCTGGCTAAAAAAAATACACACACATACACACACATAATGGCTAAAGGGAAGACGCTGACCAATCAGAACATGTGTCTGATCAACCAGAAAGGATTCCAGAAATAAACACCTAGCATGGCCATGTGAGAACACACCAGCTAACACCCCTTTGACGGTGACAGTCATCAGAGAGGAGGATGACAGCCCTCAGGGAGAAGAGGCCACGGAACACCTGCAATGGGGCGGTGCAAAGGATGAGAACCTGGAGGAGGAGGATGTGCAGGAACAGTCAGAAAGAGAGGAAGGAGAACCAAGAAAGATGAATGTCATGATAGACTGAGGAACAGAAAGCTTCGGATGGATGGAAGTGGCAGCACAGACTGTTGAAAAGACCTCTTGTCCACCTTTGCAAAGCTAGACTATTTCTAGTGTGGATGTCAAGGGCTAACTGGGCAAGTTCAAGGGCAGTGCTCAGGGCAGGGACTCTCAAGGATGGATTCTCAAAGCACAGGAGAAGGATGACGGGGACTCCAGCACAAATTAGGATTCCACCGTGGAAGCAGCTAAGTAAATGTAGTCTTCCTGGAATGACCTTCCACAGTGTCTCTGAGCACGCTGAAGCTGAACTGGAGCTGGGCAAGGCAAAGTGGTGGAAATGAAGGACGTCTCCCACTTTCACTCCAAGCCCCACTGGGCAGCTGAAGTGCCTGCCCATCCTCCTCCTCCTTATACAAAAAACAGCGAATTCCATTCGCCTTCCTGCTCTCAATGAAAGGCTCTCTTCGGGTTCTTTACTAATCTCGAATCTGTAAAAAGATTTTCCCTGTGACTTTCTCCATTTCAATCCTGTCTTCTCTAAAGGAGAATTAAAAGCAAGTTCCCCCACACCGACCTCAAGTGGTTTCTAAGATAGCATGAGTGCATTCTGCAGGTTCTCTGAGAATTTAAAAGAGAGTGGGGAGGAGAGGAAACAGTCAGAGTGAATGCAGAAACGCTGGAGAGGAAAACGGGATGTAATACTGCGGAATATTTTCATAGTGGGGACACACATCTAATAATCAACAAAGCATGGGAAAAGTTCGTGCTCTGGTGCATTTGGAAAGAATGCTTATTAAATACTTGAAAACAGAAGATTTAGGTTTAAGTAACAGTTGAAATATCCCTTGAGCTAAAATGTGTTGCTATTCGAGATGCCATGAAATTAATGTTAAAATATGATATCTCATTTCAATCTTCTTGGAGAAAAAAAAAAAAACAGGCTTTGACTCACTCGTAAGACAGATCCCACGCACCCACCCACCAACATGGCCCTTGGCACGGGCGACCTGCCCACGTGTCGACGCAATCGTGCCTCTCTACAGCCCTGCTTCCACCCGCTTCCCGAGCTTCGATGTCGTGACGAGAGACCGCGGCTACATCAACCTTGGGCAACCAGATGCAGCCGCGTGCGGTAGCCTGGCACTGCCCCGAGCATGCTCAGTCGGGTCCTGACCCACTTCTGCAGGTCCGACTTCGGGGCGTGGGGTCAGAAGCACTACTTTGTCAGTCTGCCAGGAACAGAGAGGAGGTGAGAGACGGAGAGTTGCTCAAGCTCCTGTCTTGGCATGGCCATCCATGACCCGGCGGCGGAACATGCCCAGTCTGGCTGCAGGAGCTGCAGGAGCCGCCGGGAGCGTCCGTGGGAAAGTCCACCATTCCGGGTTTTCGCAGCAACCCACCGGGACGAGGGAGGGACGGGAGTAAAAGGGCCGGAGTGGGGCGTGGCCAACGGGGCGGGACCGAAGGCCGTGTGGGCGGAGCCCGGCCCCGCCCCTGAAATGGAGCTGCTCTCTCTCCCACGGCGGGTAAGGAGGGGAGGAGCCACTTACATTGCAGGATCGTGCAGCGAAACTGCTGTAGGTACTTAACAATCATTCTAGAGCAATCTACTTTTTCATTAAAAAATCCACTCGTGCTTCATTAGAAAAAAACGTAGAAAGCACAAATAATGTTTTTAAAGAAAATGAAAAAAAATTCCTGGAACCGCACCACTCAAGAAGCCACCAGCGAACGTCCCGCTGGGTTTCCTTCCAGACTCTTCCATCTGTGGGCTCTGCCTTGAGAGACGTGTAAGGCTGACAGCGCAGTCGCCCGGGCGGGCCTGAGAAGCCGCTTTTGCTTGCCAAGGGGTTTGCTCCTGACTGCGCGTGACTGCAAGGAGACCGGGTGGGTTCACTGCTTTCCACTTAGTGCCCCGGGATGGGACCCTAGGGAGCCTTTTCCTGGGTGTCCTTGAACGCGAGTGGGATGCGACGCCCACAGAAGTTGCGGTGGAAGCCCGGGGAGCGCCCCGCCCCCGACGAGGATCAGCCGCGCCGTCCCGGCGGGACAGAGGGCGGCGTGAGGCCCCGCGCGGCCGCGGAGGGCCTGGGCGTGCGGGCGCGGGCGCGGGGCTCCGGGGCCCGCCGAGGCCCGGCCCAGAGGCTGAGCGCACGGAACGCGGGACTCCGGGCACCGACAGCCTCCGCGGCTTCCTGCGCCGGCTCCTCCGGAGGGCCGGGCCGCCGCTCCGCCCGGCTCGCTCCGCCCGGCTCGCCCCGCCCGCCCGCGGCTGCCGCGAAAACCCGGCGGCGGCACGGCGCCTCCACGCCGCCGGAGAGCCGCACTGGGCATGCTCGGCCCGGCCGGCCCCGGCGCCTGGAGGTGGCAAGCTCCGCGCTCCCGGCCGCCGGCGGCGCAGCCCGCAACGCTGTGAGGCGCGGGCGGAGGCGGCTCGCCCGCGGTGGGCGCTCCCGGGGTCCGGCGCAGAGCGCGGCGCAGAGGCCGCTGTCGGGCCGGCCATGGCGAGGGGTGCCCGGCGGCCACCTGAGCGGCGCCGCGGTGTCAGGTGAGGGGGGCGCCGGGCGGGCCGGGGCGGAGGAGGGCGGGGTGGGGAGCGCCGGGTCGGCGCCGTGGCCGCGGAACTTCGGCGAGTGAGGGCCGGCGGAGGCTGCGCTGCGAGGCGCGGCGGGGTCCCGGCGGCGGGCGCCAGGGGGCCGCGGGATGCTTGGAGATCCGCGCCGTGCGGGGGCCGGCCGTTTGGGGACAGCCGCAGCCCGGGCTCGAACCGCCACCCTCCGAGGGCTAGGAGCGCGGAATCCCCGGCCGGCTGCCGGCGAGCCTCCCAGGTGTCCTGGGGACAGGGGGCGCCAAGCAGCCGCGGGGCCCTTCGCCAGGCTCTGGGTCCCTCGCTCGGCCGTGCCTCAGTTTCCCCAGACAGGGAGGAGGGTGCGCTGGCCGGGGCTCCGGAGAACGTGAATGCGGGTTCCGCGTCGGGAGGGCACTCCGTCCTGATGCCGCAGGAGTGCGGGCGGCGGTGGGTGCCGCGAGCCGCCGCCTCGCGCCCCGAGCTGCCGGAGTTTGTCGCATTTGACTCCATAACAAGTTGACATCGAATTGCTTCATGGCGTGGAATGGGGAAACGTGCTTCATCGGATTAAAACACAGAGTGGTTGCAGAACCAATTTATTTTAAGCCTGATCATTAATCTGTGTTCTCCACCCCTGGGGAAAAAAAAAAAAAAAAACTTATCTTGCAAGATTTATAAAGCAAGCTAGCAAAGAAAGGTTTGTAGGTCTATTATCTGCTCACGTTGTACAAAACAGTTAAGATACGGTCGAACTGTCTTTATTTTTAAGGATACTTAACAGACAAGTTCGGTTACTGTGGCAATCTTTATTTTGCGTTATCTTGGATTTAATGTTAAAAACTTGGAAACCGAGCGTTGCAGAAGCTCAGTGTTTTTTGTAGTTTTCTCACTTTTGTTTCTAGATGAAACACATTTTTTTTCAGTTGCTACTATACTGAACATAGTAAAATCCTTCAGTATGAAATACAAGATGGAAAAAAAATGTCTTTTCATGAGACCGTAAGTTATAACGATGTAGTTCTTCAGACGTTTTACTTATACAGTAAATGCAATTCGTGTGTCGCACTGTGGTTTCTACAGCTGTTTCTTCCCAAAACATTTAATACCATGAACACTGTTAGGATTATTGTATCTAATAGGGGCAAGGTAAACAATCCTGTACTAGTGGGAACTAGTTCTGCTAACTAAAGCTATATTCTCACGCCTATTTCTCTAAGTGCCACTTAATGGGTTCAGTTGTTTTATTCATTAAGCTTATTACAAAGCTTCTTGTTTGCACTCTTAATAGACCTTAATAGGTTTCAGAAATGCATTGACTTTTCATTGGTTTGTGGGTAGTCTTTAAGGTTGGTGCTTGCAAGCCTGCGATGGCTCCAGCTCTAATTCTGGATACTCTCTGGGGTGATTTCCCCCAGTATAGAGTTGGCTCTGTCCTGTGCTGCTGCCTGACTGACGTTTAATACTAGGAAAGGCTTGAAATGTGCAGACAACAGCAGTAGCAACAACATGATTACAATTTGCATGCATTAGAACCTGCAGTCCTCCATTTTAGCCAGTAGTTTGGTTGGTGATGTTCACTGCTCCTAAATTTATTTCTAAATACAGTTATGGAAAAAGAAGTTTGAAAACCCCAACCCAAATACTGAATAATTATGCTTCCCTTTTCTATAAAAATGCATCAAGTTTAAAATCTTCCATGAAGTACTGCCTGGATGTACACCTTGCCCTGTACAGCACGTCTCATATCCTCAGGCGGCATTCCCCCGTAGAAGTAGCTAGCATCTCCCCTCAGCCTTGGGATCTTCCTGACCTGGAGGAGGCAGCTAGGCCTCAGTTTACTTGTTGTGACTGTGAGGTTTAATACAGATCAATGGGCCCCCTTCTCGATCCAGAAATCCTGAGTACAGATCCTAAGTATTTTCTCATTGTTAAGAAGGACAATGAAATTTAATCAAAGGCTTATTGACACACTGCCCTTGGCTTCAGAAGGTCCACATTGCCCTAACCTAAAACTCAAAAAACAACAGGAATTAGGTTGAAAAGGGGCTGTATTACTGCACATGAAAAGAAAAAGTTGACTTTGTAGGCGTGTTACAAAAAAAGGTGATCATTTCTTGTCTTTTGTAGTTACTTGTTGGGTTCTTTCAGCTCACTTGCTAGGCACTTGATTTTTAGGGTTATTTCTATGTGTTTAGATATGATGTTGGTGACATTAGACATTTACAGCAAATGACTTCCTTTAAAAATAGATCTACCCCCATCCCTGTGACATTAATTTATCCAACTCCTATTTGGCTTGCAATTTAAATACTCAAGGTATTTTAAATTTTGCTTCATTCGGACTTTTCATTCTACTTTTTAATGCAAGAACTTTTAGATACTGGAATACAAATAAATATTGTAGCCAAGTTGCTTTTAACCTCAACACAGGCTAGTCAGATTTGTTAGACACGTGCTAACTTAGTTTTTGGAATTTCGAAATCATGTAGATGGTATCACTCCCCTAAGCTGGCATCTTGATGTCTTTCCTAGCCAACACCGGGTGGACACTTAAAACTTTGCCAGTGTTTTCAATCTATGGCATATCACATTATAGTTAGAAATGGCCTTAACATGCAAATGGTTAATTTTAAGTTTGGTATAATACCTCCCTGGAATGGTTAAAAGATGGTTACAAAGGATTTGGTTGATTATATCATGGTGTAACCATGTAAGAGCTGTCAGAAGCAGTTTATAAGTTAGGCTCCAAACAGAAGTCCTGTGAATGTATTGGTCTGGCCTCTGCTGCCACCTGAGGTCTTTACTTATTAAAATAATCACATTAATTTCTTTCCACAAACTTGTATAGTTAGGCTCCTGAGGCCACAAAAATGAATAAGACAGAGTGACTCACAGATGAGTCAGAGAGATATGCTTGAGGACAAATAAAATACAGTACAGGATGAGTGCTTCAGAGAGGTACACACACGGGGCCGAGGAAATAGGGGAATGAACCCCATAGACGGGAGGAGGAGAGGACCGCATTCTTGGAGTGACATTTCCATTAAGGAATGCCTGAAGAATGAGAAAGGTCTTCTACGCGGAGAGGTAGACACTCCCGGCAGAAGAAACACGATTAGGGTAGGCAGAATACTGCCCGCCACCAGAGATGTCAGCTTTGGAACTTCAAAGATGTGATTCAGTTAAGTGTCTTGACATGGGGAGATTATTCAGGAGTTTCCAGGTGGGCCCAGCACTTCTGTGGCATGGGAGTTCAACATGGGTTTTCCTGGGCAAAAGTCAGGAACTCTGCAGAGCCCTGTTCCTTCTGGAGGCTCTCGGGGAGAACCTGTTTCTTTGCCTTTGCAAACTTCCAGAGGCCACCCACATTCCTTGTTTCGTAGCCCCCATCCCCCATTCAAAGCTCGGAACAGTCAGTCCAGTCTTTCTCGAGAGGCATCACTCTGACGCTGCCTTCTGCTTCCTTCTTTCACATGACAGAACCCTTGTGATTACATTGGGCCCACGTGAATGGTGGCTCTTTAAGACCTGTTTGAACTTCCATGACCCAGAACTGCAAGATAAATTTGTGTTAAGTCCCTCAGTCTGTGGAAATCTGTTACAGGAGCTGTGGAAAGCAAATACAGCCATATCCACCGAGAGGTTTGGTGCTGTAGAGTAATCGGCAAGGGCAGGAGGAGAGGAACGAAGTCGTCCTTTTACTGTGATGAGCTCAGCGTCACGTGAAGGAGTTTGGATTCTCTCCTATTATAGCTAATAACATATGGGAAGCCAGAACATGAAATGAACAGATTGATGCCAGATTTACTTGCTAAAAACACAATGGGCAACTAAACCTTTCAGGCTTCACAGGGCAGCATGATAAAGAATGTCCAACCAGAGGTGGTCAGTGGCCGATAGAGTTCTAGAACCAGCCTGTTGTAATTCAGGTCTCTGAATCCATCTGAAATGGCAGCATTCGTATGCATGTATGGGATGAATAGATTAAAACTTTTATTTACAGTAAGTGGGACATCATAAAGCAACAGAGGTGAGGCACATTTCACTTTGCTTCTACCCGTTGTCCTCTAACAGCAGTCAGCTGTTCTGCTGTCTCTGTACCATGCACACGTGAGCAGGGAGCTGAGAAAGCTAAAATTTAACATAATTAACTTGAGAATGATGAGATTTCACATGGGCCGTCTCTGACCAGTTGGTAATAGCTGTTTGCAGTGTCGTGGGCTTGTACTGGTTCACCTGGGAAACTGTCACAATCAATCAGCAATGTTTGCAGTGGGCTCCATATTTGTCGTTGAGGGTGCAGGAGTTGACTTAAATGAACTAACTTCCAGGTTTGAATATTAGAACTCTAGTAATTAGTTTCAAACATTCATTTAGTCTCTTTTATGTGCAAGTCCTCAATATCTACCTTGCAAAAGCGTATTGTCTCCTGGTTAAATTGATGTCTGTGTCTGGAAAACCTAAACTGAAGGATTCTTCTACCTTCGTGTTATAAGAGTGGCTTTGAATTGAAACTGAAATATATTTAAGAAAAATTTACTAAGGCTGGGTGCAGTGGCTCACATCTGTCATCCCAGCACTTTGGGAGGCTGAGGCAGAAGAATCATCTGAGGTCAGGAGTTCAAGACCAGCCATCTCTATTACAAATACAAAAATTAGCCAGTGGTGCATGCCTGTAATCCCAGCTACTCGGGAGGCTGAAGTAGGGGAATCGCTTGAACCCAGGAGACGGAGGTTGCAGTGAGCCGAAATCACGCCATTACACTCCAGCCCAGGCAACAGAGTGAAACTGCATCTCAAAGAAAGGAAAAGAAAAAATTACTAAGAAAAAAAATTTTCAGACAATGTGGTGAAAGAAGCCATGGGTTAGCAGTGTCAGATGCTGGAAACAACAGCAAGACTTGACTAAAATGTATCCTAATAAAAACAGAACTTTATGTTGTATAGCTAGTGTCCATTTGTATAACTTCAGAAGATTT